GACAAATTCAGAGGGTTTAAGAAACAGAAGGGATCAAGGTATTCCACAATTCATCTGGGGGCAGCTCTAAATCAACACCTTCTTGAGAACAGGCCAAAGGACATCCAAGGACAGAGTTTGATGACCCCACAGAGGACTCTTCCTCACCACGCTCCATGTGGCGCTTCAGCATCCTCTGCATGGTCAACAGATGGGGACAGAAATGGCCAGCTTTGTCAGCTTCCCCCTTAAAGGACACTTGCAGCCATGCTGTACCTGGCCATGGTGGTTGCATTGGGCTGTTGTGTGGGAAAGATGTAGCCTCCTCGAAGGTGAAGTCCGATTTTGTCCCCAGGAAGTTCCATCTCGATGCTTTGCTTCCTCCATCTCACCCGTTCTCCCTGACACAGGCAGATAAATCAAACACTCTGGCCTGACAGCACGTGTATCCTCCACTGACCTCCCTCCACAGCTCTCTCCCTCTCCCACTTAGCTGAATTATTGTCTGGTCAGATAATCAAACAGAAGGACAAAAACTAGGAACAGCACGTCTGTCATCAGTTGGGTGTCTGTGAGAACACTGATGCCATGCTGAGGCTATTTGATACACACGAGTATTACGCAAACTGACCGCTCCAAACAAGTAATCTGATTCCTGACTGAGCTCAAATTGTCCATCAGTCCCCCCAATATTTGCCCATCTGATACTATGTAAGTCTTTATCTTATTGCTGAATAAAGTATATGAATGTATGTATAATATTTTCTTTAGATTCATCATGACTGATGTTAAGTGACTTAGGCTCACTCTATCCAGGCTCTACTATGAAATTACAGAGAACACTACAGAAACACTCCTCAGTGTATGGATGGATGTGTCTTGTCTATGCAGCTGCAGCTGCAGTCTTGAGGAGTTTAAGAAAAGTCAAAGCTACTTACTGTCTCATAGTCGTACCAGACAGCATCAGGCAAATATGCTGTCACTTTCTCTGCACCCTGAAATTAAAGCAAAGTATTGTCTTTGAGGGCAATAAAATGGGTTTCTTAGCATTCCCTGAGCAGCTTCTTAACCATATCCGGAGAGGGCAGAAATGGCCCTTCTTTTCTCTGCTTTCAGATCATGCCTTTCTTTTGCCTTTCCTCTAATAGAAGCCATTACTTGGCAACCCAGAGAAAAATGCCAAATGGGAACACATTAGGAATAACAAAAGTAATAATAATAGCAGTAGTAGTAGTAGTAACAGTAATAACAATAATAATGGAGCACGTACTGTGGCAAAACTTCCAGCTTTGCGTGGTAGATACCATTATTACCCCACGTACGCGGATAAGAAACCAGCACAACAACCTGCTCCAGATCATGCAGGGACTAAGTGCAGAGACAACAAGCACGCCTGAGCAGTCTGACTTTGGAGCAGTGCAGGCCACTCCTCCACTCTGCCTGTACATCACAGAGCAAGCCATGATCTGCCATGAGAATCTGACAACACATAGGACCATTCCCAAATGTAGAGCTGCCAGTAGATGCTTCTACACTGGTTAGGAACTTGGTCAAGAAAAGAGACTTCTAGAGAGGAAAATGTGTAACTGTCAGACGTCCAACTTCCCAGAATCCCAGCACACTCTCAAGGCTGACTCAGACACAGATGTTGGAAATGGGTTTGGAATACAGAGGAGAGAGGAGTTTGGAGGGCAGCGGGAAAGGAAGCAGAGAGTGTCAGCATGTCTGTGCGGGAGCACTTGCCTCATCCAGTACTGGAGTGATGAGGAGACCTGGCCCCCACAAAAACTGTCGGTGCACATCCCAAGTGCTGCTGTCCCCATAGAACCTGGAGGCCAGAGAGATGGATCACTGAGATTTGGGCCAGTGCTTCCTGGCAGCTCTCCCCCTGCCCTGTCCAAAGCATGCAGGTTGCCTGCCTGGGCAAACCCCCCAGATTATCCTGTGACACCTACTCCTCCCCACCCTCTGATCGATCCACTCTCCCAACCCACGTGCCCTCCTATTCTCCCTTCGGGTTAGACAGGAGCTCCCATTTCAGTGTCCATCCTAGGCAGGCCCCAGGCTCTCATTCTATTTGTCATATCCCCTTTTAAAAATATAAGTAAAATAGTCAATGTATTTCAGAACTTCAGCTGACTGTGAAAAAAGGACCTGGATCTGATCACAAAAAATACCAGATAATTTAAAACTTTACTCTTTTCTCTTTTAGGATATCTCCCTCTTAACAGGAAATTCCAGGTATTGGCAAAGACTTTACAAAAAAATAAATATATAACAGTAAAGATATGTACCTGAGGGCCTCATGTGTCATACACATTAGGGAGTAAACTGTATTTTGACANGAGCGGCCAGTCTGTATGTGGGATCCGAACCCTTGGCGGGAGCGCCGCCACACTTCCCAAGTGGCACACTATCGCAGTGCGCCACCGGGCCGGCCCCTATCATTAGTTTATTTTGAGAAAAAAAACAGAACATCCTTATTATCTGCTGTATATCTTAGAATAGGAAATGCAAAACACCACTCAAAGAGATGGTGAAATAGATGGGGAAAAGAGAGCAATTTTGTTTGGAATGTCTGCTCATGTTGCCAATCCTCTAGTCTACCTCCCAATTTCCTGCCCCTCGTGGGTGCCTTGCTGGCCTCCCCTTCCCACCCAACGCTTTCACAGCTCAGCCTTCCACTCTGCAAGTCTGGTTCTGTTATCAACAAAATATTGATGCATTGAGTAGCTGTCATTGCTAGACAGTCAAGGAGATACAAAGATGAATAAATCACAACTCCTGAGCTTGATGACCTTAAATGTTACACAAAAAAGATTAGACACACTCACCAAATAATCAAGACAGAAAGTAAATAGGAACATAAAAGTTAAGGTACTATACACGTCCAGAATGGCACCTCCGGAAATATGGCAGACTAAATATTCTGGAGGATCCCCCTGCTAATTTGAGCCTAGGCAAATTACAACACATCTTCCCATTAAAACATTGTTGGGCTTTCGAGAAAATAAGGGATATATCCAAGAGACCAAAATGCAGTAAAACAGATGGGTATGTTTGGGGAATAGCAAGATTCTTGGCATGGCTGGTCTGTATGTATATTAAGGTGTGGCAGGAAATACAGTGGCAGCTTCTTAACCATATCCAGAAAGGGCAGAAATGGCCCTTCTTTTCTCTGCTTTCAGATAATGCCTTTCTTTTGCCTTTCCTCTAATAGAAGCCATTACTTGGCAACCCAGAGAAAAATGCCAAATGGGAACACATTAGGAATAACAACAGTAATAATAATAGCAGTAGTAGTAGTAGTAACAGTAATAACAATAATAATGGAGCACGTACTGTGGCAAAACTTCCAGCTTTGCGTGGTAGATACCATTATTACCCCACGTACGCGGATAAGAAACCAGCACAACAACCTGCTCCAGATCATGCAGGGACTAAGTGCAGAGACAACAAGCACGCCTGAGCAGTCTGACTTTGGAGCAGTGCAGGCCACTCCTCCACTCTGCCTGTACATCACAGAGCAAGCCATGATCTGCCATGAGAATCTGACAACACATAGGACCATTCCCAAATGTAGAGCTGCCAGTAGATGCTTCTACACTGGTTAGGAACTTGGTCAAGAAAAGAGACTTCTAGAGAGGAAAATGTGTAACTGTCAGACGTCCAACTTCCCAGAATCCCAGCACACTCTCAAGGCTGACTCAGACACAGATGTTGGAAATGGGTTTGGAATACAGAGGAGAGAGGAGTTTGGAGGGCAGCGGGAAAGGAAGCAGAGAGTGTCAGCATGTCTGTGCGGGAGCACTTGCCTCATCCAGTACTGGAGTGATGAGGAGACCTGGCCCCCACAAAAACTGTCGGTGCACATCCCAAGTGCTGCTGTCCCCATAGAACCTGGAGGCCAGAGAGATGGATCACTGAGATTTGGGCCAGTGCTTCCTGGCAGCTCTCCCCCTGCCCTGTCCAAAGCATGCAGGTTGCCTGCCTGGGCAAACCCCCCAGATTATCCTGTGACACCTACTCCTCCCCACCCTCTGATCGATCCACTCTCCCAACCCACGTGCCCTCCTATTCTCCCTTCGGGTTAGACAGGAGCTCCCATTTCAGTGTCCATCCTAGGCAGGCCCCAGGCTCTCATTCTATTTGTCATATCCCCTTTTAAAAATATAAGTAAAATAGTCAATGTATTTCAGAACTTCATCTTCCCGGCAGCTCTCCCCCTGCCCTGTCCAAAGCATGCAAGTTGCCTGCCTGGGCAACCCCCCCAGATTATCCTGTGACACCTACTCCTCCCCACCCTCTGATCGATCCACTCTCCCAACCCACGTGCCCTCCTATTCTCCCTTCGGGTTAGACAGGAGCTCCCATTTCAGTGTCCATCCTAGGCAGGCCCCAGGCTCTCATTCTATTTGTCATATCCCCTTTTAAAAATATAAGTAAAATAGTCAATGTATTTCAGAACTTCAGCTGACTGTGAAAAAAGGACCTGGATCTGATCACAAAAAATACCAGATAATTTAAAACTTTACTCTTTTCTCTTTTAGGATATCTCCCTCTTAACAGGAAATTCCAGGTATTGGCAAAGACTTTACAAAAAAATAAATATATAACAGTAAAGATATGTACCTGAGGGCCTCATGTGTCATACACATTAGGGAGTAAACTGTATTTTGACAGGGAAGGTGCTTAAGTAACATGTTGAGAGTTAAATTAGAGACACTTACAGCTGACAAATAAGAATTCTGGAATTCCAGAAATCCTTTATAATATTCTTATTTGCATGCAAGTTACAGGTTCATTTCTAGAGCTTGAAGATAGTCCTGGCATCGTTATGCATTACAGAAGAGGCCACCATCAAGCTATCAAATCCTTTAAATTAAGACTAAATTGAAATCTTTAACATTTAAGACTAAGTCTTAATTTAAAGACTAAGATTAATAAAGACTCTTTACTAAGACTGATAAAGACTAAAGCTACCAAATCCTTTAAATTAAGACTAAATCTTTAAATTAGGACTGAATTTCATCCTTTACTATGGATGAAAAGGCTTAAGGTATTTGTCTAAGACAGAGAGTTAGTGGCAAAACAGAGAAAAGATCCCAAGTTCCATGACTTTTACTCTTTATCTCCCCCCAGCTTAAGGTATTTGTCTAAGACAGAGAGTTAGTTAGTGGCAAAACAGAGAAAAGATCCCAAGTTCCATGACTTTTACTCTTTATCTCCCCCCAAAAGGAAACATGCTATAATGCTTACATAAATCCCTAGAATAATATCTAGGCAGTTACAAATACCAGCTGGATATTCCAGTTAAATATATATGTGAATAACTGCCTGAATTGTTTCAATTTTTACTCTGATATTTGATGATATAGTCAATGTCACTCCATTTGCATTAACAGAATTCCTTTGGGTTAGGTGAACTTACTCATGAAGAAGGGGCCTGGCCACTGTGTCCCCGCGGCTGTGAGCGCGGTAGAAGAGGGTGTAGAGATAGGGCAGTAGAGTGTAGCGAATGTTTAGGTAATGCCTGGAGGAATTTAACAGCAGGGAGTCAGCTCCAAAGGCGGCAGGATCCTGGTCCTGGAAGGAATAATAATTGTTTGCAATTGTGGTTTAGCTATGGGATAGCAGAAGCCCCTGCAGAATTCTAGGCCTCATACATCACAACCAGGAATTATCTTCCTGAAAGGCCTGGAGCCTAGATTGCAAACTTTGCCTCTGAGCAGTACAGCTGGGAAAGGGAGACCACCTCACCAAGTAAGCGGTCATTCTCTGCCTTGCAATTTATCCTGCCTCATTTCACTCTTCAGGATTGCTCTCTTGGGAGACTTCCATTTAAATAATTTTAATGTATTTCTTCATTAGCTTGTTATTACAAAATGAGCAGTATACATTAAGTGTACAGAAGTTTCATAAGAAAAACCTGGACAGATTCACCATTTCTTTGACTGTAGCAGTAAGTGGCAGAGGCTATGGCACTAGGGCACTTTAATGGTACAGCTCAGGTCCTGGCTAATTGCAAATGGTGGTGCAAATGAGCATAAGGGAAGCAGCAGGTAAGAGGTTGGCTCAGCAGATTTTTTGGCAGGGATACAGGTAGATCAAGTCCTAATGTATGCCATATTTATTTTGACTATATGTCCTGGGAGCCTTACCTTGTAGCCTTGGCCATTGTGATTCCTGGAAAATGGATAAAATGCTCCTAGCTGCATCCACCGCCTGCAGAGCTCTTCAGAGGTGTCCAGTAAAAAGCCACATATATCAGGACCCACCTGGAAGGACACACAGACAGGGTGTGTAACTCTCACTTCCACCACCCTCCCTTGCTTTCCACCAGGGACCCCCCCCCTCAAATGAACTTTGCTAAACGTCTTACTGAGAAGGCTAACAGAGTGTGGTCAGAATTGGGTTATATCCTCTGTTCACTTTTTACTGCGGGATGACTTTGAGTAAGTTACTTAACCCTTCTGTGCCTCAGTTTCCTCACTTTTAAAAGTGGGTACTAATTAGCTACACAAGGTTTTAGTAAATGAGTAATGTGATAATGTAAGTAAAACACTTGGTATATGATAGCTTTTTGATGAAAAGTAACTTGTAACACTGCTGATGTTATTATTTTGACCACACCGCTATCAGTTATTCTTCTAAAGCCTAACTCTGATCATGTCAGTCACCTCTTCAAAAATTCCCAAGATCTCTTTGCTGTCCATCCTATCATCTGTTCAAAACCCAGCTTTTTCTCCTCATTTCTCACTCCAGTCCTACACACCGATACTTACTGACTCATCAGACACGCTCATGCATTTTTTGCTCATGTTTACTTCTCAATCATAAAATGGGCTTCTCCCCTTGTTAGTCTGATGAAATATACATACTTTCCAAGGTTAGACTCAATTGCCATTTTGTCCATGAAGTTTCTCTTGACTTCCTCCCCTGATTCTTTTTGTCCCTCATAATCTTAACAGTTAATAAATCCCTTTCTTAGGATCTCCCATAACATTTAACTCATATGTCCCTATTGGCCCATTTACCCTAGCTTGTTGTAATTATTTGTTTATGTATATGTCTCCTCTTACTAGATTGTAAACTCTTTGGGGAAAAAGAAGGTGTTTTTGTTACTATATTTATGCTTTTCTCCACCCTCACCATGCATACTTAGCTCAGTACCTCGAACACAATAGGAGCTCAATGCATGACTATGTTGAATTAACTAAAAGATGCCAAAGCTTCCAGGGTGCTGGCAATGTTACATTTCTTTATCTGGGTGCTAGATACACAGATGTGCTCAGTTCATGAAATTCATCAGCTGTACACTTAAGGATATGTGCACTTTTCTGTGTGTATGTTATACTTTAATAGAAAGAAATGTTCCAGGGAATATCAAGGTTGCACTTTGTACCTTCATAAGGCAGTACAGGAAGGAACATCATGGTATCAGAGACATACTGTTGTTGGTAAAGTAGATGCTCTCAAGACATTAAATCCCTGGGCAATGGCAAGCAGGAAAAGGGAGCTGTATGGCTTGAAAACTTTCTAGAATGAGCCTTTCTGGGGATTGAGGTTCATAAGAGAGCTTGGAATGAGGACTCACCATTGGAATACCAAAAAGATTGAACTCAAGTATGCCGGGGATGGACCACTGAAGGTCATCCCAGGTGGCAGCATTGTCTCCTAACCAATGGGCTGCAAACTTGCCAGATCCCGCAAAGGTAGAACGGGTTAAAATGAAGCTTCTCTTATTAGGAAACACAGTCTTGACAGCACTAGAAAGAGAGAAATTTAGGGAGTCAATGTGTGATTTTAGCTTGTCTCAGCCAGGGGATACAGCAACAACATTCTCCTCTTTTAATTCTCTCCAGTAGGGTTAGAGTTGCTGTCGGGAACACTCTGCACCATTAAGTATGTTCATGTTTTGTTTTGTTTTAAGGTGTTTTATGCACATCATTAACCCCATTATTTCTAAAAATTTCAAAAGCAGGCTTGAAAAGGTTAGTAACTAGAGGTATACAATTGTTATAGAACAAAGGTGAATCTTAATTTTACATAGATGCATTTGCGTTGGTCTGCCATGTCATGAGTCTTCACACATACACAAAAATGGACATATGAACAGCCTTTTGAAACAAACCCTTTTTAAGCAGAAATATTTTGATAATAATTTTGTAATAAGAAAAGACATTTTAAAATTATATATGCATGTGTGTACTTTCATAATTAAATATAAGAATGTATCATCTACAGTTTTAAATTAGAAGTCTATATTTGTACATATATTTTACAACTTTTGCTGTACAACTTTTTCAACAACTTTCAAAATGGCTAAAATCACATCCATTACTTTGTTAATGAAGAAATGCAGTTTTGGTGTGGTTTCCTGCTGTCACTGTTACAGTAAGTAAGATAAAATATCAATACCTTTTCCTCACGGTAGAATTTGAGTCCACACACAAAGGTGAACAAAGCACAATAGAAGGATGCTGAGCCAATATGTAAAATCCCACAGCACATGGACATCTACAAGTTACTTACCCCTCTGTACGCATCTACACAGTGTGTCAGAAGATAAAATACAGGGGCTTTAGACTGGACATCTACAAGTTACTTACCCCTCTGTACGCATCTACACAGTGTGTCAGAAGATAAAATACAGGGGCTTTAGACTCATGGAGAAAAGGGCTTAAATTTTGCTTTTGGAATTTATTAGCTGTTTGACCTTAGACAAGTTTCTTAACTTTCTTACAACTTTTCATTCATTCATTTGCTCATTCATTCATTTATTTTATACATTTCACAAATATAGATTGAATCCTTCTTCCCTATGTGATAGGCAGTTTCTTCAGTCATTTAGTAATGACACCCACATTTATCTCATAGAGCTTTTAAAAATAACATATATGAGTGGCCCAGCATGCAGCAGACCAATAATTTGGTTGTGTATAAATCCATAGCAATAGTGGTCTTACTCTGCCGTGGCAATGGCCATGGAGTAGCCATACAAATTGTGGACATCATATTGTCTTCCCCAGTGCTGCACCGCATCCATGCAGAGGGTCTTGTGGAACAGGTACCCATCCAGGATGCCTGAGACAGAAGGGGATCAGTCAGTGAGAGCCTAAGATGTACATTTACCTGAAATGGTGGCTCCCCGGGGAAGGTACTTATTATGGCCATCTGTACACGATCATACTGTTCCTCACTATCATAAGGTCATACGTTTGGGGTACTTTCTGTACTGACCCACATACATCCTCCCACTTGGGCTCTCATGTGACTAGAAGCAGGCATTTGGAAGCAAGAGGATCCAGTTAGACTTGAGGGTCAACCTACATTCTTCAAACTGAGATATACAAATGGCTAACAGACACATGAAAAAATGCTCAACATCATTCAGCATTCAGGAAATGCAAATCAAAACCACTTTGAGATACCATCTCACCCTAGTTAGGATGGCTAATATCCAAAAGTCTGAGAATGATAAGTGCTGGCGAGGTTGCAGAGAAAAAGGAACCCTCTTACGCTGTTGGTGGGACTGCAAAATGGTGCAGCCTTTATGGAAAGTGGTATGGAAGTTCCTCAAACAATTACACCTAGATCTACCATATGACCCAGCTATTCCACTGCTGGGAATATACCCAGAGGAATGGAAATCATCAAGTGGAAGAGATAACTGCACTCCCATGTTTATTGCAGCACTATTTATGATAGCCAAGAGTTGGAACCAGCCCAAATGTCCATCATCAGATGAGTGGATAAGGAAAATGTGGTATATCTACACAATGGAATACTACTCTGCTATAAAAAAGAATGAAATACTACCATTCACAACAACATGGATGGACTTAGAGAAAATTATATTAAGTGAAACAAGTTTGGCACAGAAAGAGAAATACCACATGTTCTCACTTATTTGTGGGAGCTAAAAATAAATAAATATGCAAACAAATAAAGGGTGAGGGGGGGAAGAAGACACAACAATCACAACAGTTCCTTGAACTTGTTAAGACAGGTGAACAGATATGATGTAGTCGAGGGGAGAGGGAGGGGGGAAAGAGGAACGGGTAAAGGGACAGAAAAAATCAACTACAATGAATATTGAGAAGTTAAAATAAATAAATAAATAAATAGAAAAACAAACAAACAAACAAAACTAAGATAAGTTAAGTGATCCAAGATTACAAATATTGTACAAAAGTTAAATTAATTTGACTCCTCTCCCTCGACCATATAATGGAAAGAATAATGTCCAATCTCTCTTTCATTTATGTATTCTTTTCTGCTTCCATTGCCCATTGTGGTTCAGATCCAAATTACCTCTGGATCTTAACTATTGCAATAGCATCTTAATGACTTATTTGCTTCTGATCTATCTTCTGATTCTACTGAATATCTGATCCACATCAGATTAGTATTTCCAAAACCATTTGACTATCTTACTTTGCTCTAACTAAAATGTAAATAGCTTCTATCACCAAAAGAATGAAGTGTGAATTGTTTAGCCTCCCATCCAAGCCCCTTGACATTCCATTCTGACTTATCTGTCCCAATTTTCTATTTTCGCATCAGACTGAAGCCTTCAGGACATATCATAATCCTAGTATCCTTGTTCCTTTCTCAATGAAGACACAACTTGTTTTTGAGCCTCTAGCTATCTTCAATCAACTGCTGTACTTCGAGGTCACGCCCTGAGAGATAGTGTTGTTCAAAGTCCAATCAAAGCTCAGGAGCACCACATTCACTGACTGACTTTGACCCCCCAGGCCAGGGGCTGGTTTCCTTTCATCCTGTGATTCATGTCTGTTCTTCACACTGCTGATATTACCAGGCTTAACCCTCACCTGAAGACCAAGCCTGAGTATCTGGTCTCTCTCTGGTAAGCCCTGGCCTGTGGGGGTGCATGCTCAAGAGTGACAAACTAATCTCTAGCTAATAGATCTGCCACATAACCAGCGCCACTCTAGACAAGCCCAAGTACAAAATGGCACCACCCACCTCCTCCTCTCCCCCCCACCTTTATGAGAAGCCTCCTGACTTAAACAGAAACCCCTTTTGCTTCCACAAGGACGCAGTTCTTTACCTCGATGCACATTAGTATAATGACCCTCCTTGATGGTATCACCCAGCTCTTGGTGCCAACATACCAATATAAGCTCTACCACCCCCATACCTGGTGCTGTCCCCATTTTCAGGGCAGCCCTGGGCTGCCTGCTACTTTGAGTACAGCCCAGCAGATTTCTTTCTTTAATAAAGCTTGAATGGTACCCAGCATCTCGGCTCACTTTCTCTCACTAGCCTCTGGCTTCTGCACCATATCCTCTCTGGACCTTCCCTTAGAAATAACTTGGACTGTAGGTAAAAGGACTAGGTTGCTCCTTTTGATTTTATGCCTCTTTTAGAAAAGCGTAGGGTGTTTTAATTTTCTTTCCTAGCTTCTTTTACATATTACTCACATTTTCCTTTCCCTGTGCACATTTACGTACAAACTCCCTTGCCAGGTTGTTCAAATCTATCCTCATAAATTTAAGATATCAAGTATGCATTGCTGACCACCACGACTTACTGGGAGTAAATGGGGGATAATTTAGGCTGCTTGTGGAACATCCTGAAACTGAACCATCAACAAAATTGGCCACTTCATTCATATCCTACAAGACAAAGAACAAAACTGGTAAGAAAAAGTAACATGTTTCCTTACAATGATGTCTTTTTCTTTTTTGAGATATCAGAGAAAATATTCCAGATAATTCTTTTTTAAAGGGGGTATTTATGTATATAGAATCAAACAGATGTTTCTGTCTTCTCTACACATTGAAGGCTTCATAGAGAATGTTCTTAAAATCCTTTCAAAATGACATATGTCTATAATCACTGAAAATGAAAAATTTCCAAGCATATTAGGTGAAAAAATATTTCAATTTATATGACTTATATATATCAATTTATACATGCTCTATATATCCAAATATGGGTATGAATATATATACGCATACAAATACACATACATACACAAACATGTACATATGGAGGGAGAGAGTATGTGCCAACAGCTGTGAAAATGAGAGGTCTGGAAAGATGCATACCAAAATATTGATGGCACATGTCTTTGGTTACTATCATTTTAGAGGATTTTTGCTTTCATCTTTTTAGTTATCTGTAATAATTGAATTTTCTGTAGTTCTCTTATAAATAAAAAAGGTTCAACTCTAGAGCTCCCTAAATTTTGCTGAACACCAGCTACGTTGCATTTGTTTTCATTTGACATTACACGAAACATTTCTCTTTACAGCAGCCACAGTTCTTTCATGCACCTAAGTACTTTACCTCTGATCAATTTGTCCAATGTGCCCAAATGAAAAAGTCTTGAGCTAGCAAATGAACAACCTGTGCACTTTGTGACAGACAATGTAAGGAGTATATGACCTATAGTGACTTCAGCTCATTTATTTGTAAAAGGAAAGAAAGCTGGGCTTAGGAAAAAATGACTGAGTTTCTTTCCAGTACTAACATTCTGATTTTTTATTTTAAGCTACATTTTTGTTAAGATTATTTGGGTAGCAAGATAGGAAATATTGGAAATTATTGTCAGACTTGCTTTACCCTCCTCCTCATCTCCCTACGCTCTATGACTCAGAGATACAGATACAGATATACACAATCTGAACATTTGTCACCTAATAATCTAAGTGTTAAGAACTCACAATCCAAATCCCATCAAACTCCACTTGACTGTGGAAAAGCTCAAATTGCTCTGTCCACCAAACAGCACAGTTAGGGTTGGTGTAATCAGGAAACACAGTTTTTCCAGGCCAGACCTGAAGGAGAAAAATGAAAACATTGATAAGAGTAAGTTAAATAAATATGAAATAAAATAAGTGCTTTGCAAAGGAATTTGTAGGATAGTCATGGCAACAGAGATACCCAGGCACAGGTCCTTTTCAGTTAGGAAAGTGAAGCACTCAGAATACTTAGAATAAATGCCACAGAGAATCAAATAGTCACTTGAGGAGAAGATCTATTTTAAAAAATGGTTAAGTTCTTAATGAATTAATCCACGGATAAAGGCTGATGGAGTTTGGATGTGTTGTCCCCTCCAAAATTCATGTGGAAATTTGATCCCCAATTTGGCAGTGTTGGAAACTGATTGAGTCATGGGGGCAGATCCCTCATGAATGGATTAATGCTCTCCCTGGAGGAGGAGGTGTCGTGAGTGAGTTATGGCTCTATTAGTTCCCACGAGAGCTCGTTGCTTAAAAAGACCCTGGGACCTTCTCTCTCTCTCTTGCTTCCTCCCTCACCATGTGATCTGCTTGTACCTGCTGGCCACCTGCCGCTTTTCCACCATGAGTAGAAGCAGCCTGAGGCCCGTGCCAGATGCAGCTGTCCCAGAATTGTAAGCCAAATAAACCTCTTTCTTTTATAAATTACCCAGTCTCAGGTATTTCTGTTATAGCAACATAAAATAAAAGACTAAAACAAGGCATTGTCTAACTTGCTAATCTTCAACTCTGGATCACCCTTCCTTATCACGATCTCTACTCCCAGTTCTAGGAATACTGAATGAAGAGAGAGTACCGGGTAGATTTCAACTGGCTCATTATAAGCTGTTGATTCCGACATCATTCACTTTTCCCTGTTCCTTTCCTATCCAATTTTCCAACAGACACTATATTCTGAAATGGTCAACAGAGATATTAGACGTGAACCAGCAGATAACACCATCATGGAAAATGAGAACAAATAAAGGTTGGAGAAAGAAGGGTTCAAGCTTGTCAAATACTGCAGAGAAATCAAGTAGGAAGTGTCATGAAACAGTTCCATTGGATTTTCCAGCTAGGAGGTAACTGGTGCCATTTGCCAGAGCAGTGCCAGAGAAAAGACGGGGGAAGAAAGTAGATGTCAGTCTGCTGAAGCACTAATGAGTGGGGGTGAGGAAGTGGACGCTCAGCATGTGAGCTGTCCTTTAAAAAGACTTTGCTGTGACAGGGATGTAAGAGCTAGGATGGTGGTGGGCATTTGGGCATGACAGGGCAAGGGAAAGCTAATTCCCAGTATATATAAGGCATCTGAAAATGTACAAGAAAGCAATCTCACACACACACACACACACACACACACTCTGCTGTAGCCCCTCCCCCCGCCCCTAGCTTCCCCATCAAGTTACCTCCCCAATGATTGGAGTCACTCCATCTGAATCATTCACCCATATCTTCATATCTGAACCCCTGTCATAGGGGCCATAGGGATTGCTTAGGGAAGAGTTGTTGGAGATGGCTGGGTCCTAATGGGGGAAAAGCACAATGAAGAAACTAGCTTTAAGCCGCAGGCACTAAAAGGAGACTGGGAATTGGAGGACTACGGGGTGTAATGATAAGGAAGAGCAAATACCTGGTTTGGGGGAAAAAGAGGGCAGCACATACCACAATGATGACTAATTTCTGTCCGTTACTGTGTAAGTCGTTAACAAACTCAGGGAAGTCTTTAAAATTCACTGGATCATAAGTGAAGTCCTTTCTCTCATCCATATAATCTATATCAGCATGCTGTACATCCTGAAAGGATACACGAAATCCACAGTTTAACACCTAGGAATTTCTATGTTGAAATGAATCAGTCAAATCAAGATAAACGACAACTCTGTGCTGGGCTCTCTACACAGAGTTCTCTAACATCTAATTGCTTCTTTCCAAAGTAATTTCAAGAACAAATGACCCATTGTTTTCCTAAGGCCTGGCCCCACCTCTGCAATCAAGTTAACTGCATCATTTTATCCCTGGCCCTCTGGCATTAAAAGCCAATCAAACAAACCACAACAATTATGACAAGTCACTAAGACTATCAAAGACACATTTATTGTCTATACTGTGCCCTGTCCACAGATAAACGGGGGAAGAGACTGTCTCCCCCACTTCTCCCTCATTTTACTACCCCACATTTTGTCTTGCTACTTCTCTCCTACTTCAAGTCTGGTGTTTATTCTTTCCTAATTTTACCCATAGAGAAATAGTGGAGCCCAGGATGAAATTTACTCTTGCTCTATGACCTATGTGTCTGCCTCCAGGGGAATGGGGTGGGGAGACTGAGGATCTGTATCACTCGTTACCTGACACTAAACCTAAGAATCAAGCTTATACCAGAATCTTAGACTAGTTTCTAAAAATATGATATCACTTTTATGTTCAGTCCCTGCCACGACACTTTTGAGTAAAACAATCCAACCAAGAACATGTGTAAGGTGAGAAAACCTACACTGAGAAGTATTAAAATGCTACAATCCAAACTTCAGGCAGAAATACCTTGAGAATTCAAATAAAACCACATTATATAAAATGTAGTCAATACAGGAAGCACAAGAAAACTTTACAATGACATGTGTGATAACAAAAATACAGACAAAAACAGATTGCCTCCTAACCCACGATTGTAGCTTCTAAGTACTATTTCCCACTAAAAAGAACTAGGGTTCCTTGAAAAAATGGTTGGTCCAACAAAAAATCTAGTATTCTGTATTAACTAACCACCCTCTCCTCATTCCCCTACCCGCTTCCCCCACCAGTCTCTAGTAACCACTATTCTATCTATAATTCTATAAGACCAACTTTTT